AACTCGGCATATAATGTCATAGTCTTTTCTGTTTCTTGGTCTCCCATTTTTGTGGTCAATGTGTTAATTTTATTATATGCTTCTGACAATTCACATTCTAATTCATGAATGCGGTTGAGTGCACAGTCATGAGCATTCCGGCACTGGTCAAAGGAGTCGACAAGAAACTGCAGTTGATCCCGTTCTTTTTGTACATTTTGAAATTTACAGTCTAATTCAGCCAAGTTTTGCTTTAATATAGTATTTTTATGTACTATATTTGATATTTCTACCTCCCCCTCATCCCGTTCCTGAATTAATTTGTCACATAGTTCCTTCTTGTCTTTTAACTCCTGTAAAGCCTTCTTCAATTTCACATCCAAGTCCTTACTGCGAGTGACCATTTTTACTGGAAACATAGTAAAGATAAAACAGATGAGTATTGAAAATATACAATTTAGTAAGGCTGATTAGGGAGTTAATATATAAGATTACTTGACAATTTAATAAATTATAAAACAATTTTGTAGTTGTGTATTATTTTATATTTATGTATTAATTATTAATTAAGAAAATATACTAGAAATTGTCAGGGAGTACAGTAAAGACAAAATAAACGAATCGTTAGTACTATTATGTAGGTAGTTAGGAGTGTATTCATTCTAAAGGAATATACAATTGAATTAAATAATGACAAAATAGTAAAACGCTTAATATTATTAATAAGTTACGGATGAAATATTATTAATTACTACTAATCAACTTTTTTTTTATTTCCAAGCCCACTAAAATACACTAACTCACATCTACCCCCTACTAGTGGTAAAACCACGAAGTTGCCAACACTTATTTAACGGCCACTACGCGATTTCTTAGGAAATCCAACGTATACAACTCCAAATAGGTTGAAGCGTACTGAAATAGCTGTATTTACATGATTGGAACATTGAATCGGCTGGCACGCTGGGCATTCAACCCTTTCGAATTGATTAATGCATCGTTTTTTTCGTACCTTTATAATACGTACGTACGTAGATTTAGAAACGAATGTTTTGTACACTAGAACACTTACTTTGACGGCCCCGGTGGTTTAGCGGTTTAACACACCGCTTTACTACCAATACTCGCGGGTTCGATTCCTTACGCGATGCAAATATTTGTATTCATGAATATGATTGTTTGTATCTGGGTGTTTTTATGTATATATGATTGTTTGTATCTGGGTGTTTTTATGTATGTATATTATATATGTGTTCACAAAAAAAATGTATTTGTTTGTGTTTAGATTAGTTGTCTAGTACCCATAAGACAAGCTCTGCTTACCATTTGGACTTGATGGCGCTGTGTTAATTGTCCAGGGTTATTTATTATTATTATTTGTTCTAATTATTCCGGCCTAAGGACTTATAGTAAGTACGTGCATATTACTGCGGAGGAATTATACCACAATATTCACAATAAGCACAATACGTGTTGGCGCCATTCTTGTCGTAAATTATGTTTTCTGACGTCAATTTCGTATAGGAACGTTATATACTTATGAAATTATAGTATAAAATTATCATATAAGATTTCCGGACCCTAAACATGTCTAATAATTTTCTCTTTTAGTGTCCATATACGAAATAATATCATCGATGATTTAGCCGTTTAACACACCGCTATACTTACTTCTAATTAATTGCAATATCGATTCCTCGCTCTATAATAATAACAATATATTTTAATTATCTTACATGCTAGTTATATATATAAAATATGTAAATATGAAGGCGTGTCTATATTTTTTTGTTTTTCTGTTTTTTTTTCTATACAACAGTTGCTACATAACGAAAGAGTTACGCTACATGAAACTAAAAAACGAAAACGCTACATAACATCGTAATTCTCAGGAATGACAAAATATAAAACACCACAGCTATTCGTTGACGATGTACTGTTGGATTACCACGGGTACAGTTGCCACTTCAGTCATAGTTAATTAAATTCAAATTAAAAAAATCCTTTATTTATATAGGACACTTTAGTCGCTTATAGATAGTCGCGGTAGATTAAAAAATGTAATGACTATTAAAAAGTGCTTCAATGTAAGTTTATTTGAATAAATGATTTTCTATTCTATTCTATTCTATTATGAACGTAAGATTTTTTTATTAAAACGTTTTTCCTAGCGACCATTTCCTAAAAAGAAGTATGTAATTTGTTATAGTATACACACGCTACATACATTATATCATGCTGTATACCTATATGTATATGATAATTATAGATAGTATTATAGAACAGTTTACAACAACGAAACCTGCAGTAGACACAAGACTCGTGTTGCAGGAACTTCAGCGAAAACTTTAACTTAGACGGTGTTTAGTTCTACTAACTGGATATGTACGACGTCAAGAACATAAATGGTAATGATATATATATCAAGAAAAATATAGGAATGTAATCTATGTAAATTTTTAGAGCTCAATTTGTATAGATTTTTTTTTATAATTAACATAAATTTCTAAAATAAAATTAGTCTATCCAAGTTATATAACGTTCGCTATCTGCAAGTGAAAGTCACGTGAAAATCGGTGCAGCTATTTCTTATTAGCAAGAACAAAGAAACAGAAAAACAGACTGCGAAATTTATAAACTAATTTTTGATGTAAATACCTATGTACTTTCACATGCATTCTTATACATGGACAGAGTTCTAAAAATGTCACAGATAATTTTGTACAAATTCTACCATGGTATATGGCTCTGAAAGTACATGCATACACGGCATATATATTTATATATATATATATATGCCGTGTATGCATGTACTTTCAGAGGCGCTACTTAAAAGCTTCTAATAAATTAGATCCATTAAGGGTTTGTGGATTAGTATTATTAACTCACGCCTTTTTAACCTTTACTTTGGGAACAGTTACTCTGATTTCAAAGCGGCAAATGGGTTGTGGCCTCCTTTTATCTCAGATTAGATGTCAAAGACATTTTAAATGCGCGCAATGTTGCGGTAATCATCAGCTGTTTATTGACTTGTGTTAATCCTTTGTGCAAGTTAATTTTACTATACACCTGCCTATGTTTAAGATTAAAGTAAAGTTTTCTTTACAAATTACAGCAGTTAGATCAGTTCTTTCGACTGAAGCATTGACCAAGACGAGTGTAGTAGTGGTTGCAAATATTTTATAAATATGAATAAAGCATTTATTAAAATGTCTTCAATAATCTTTTGGATTTTGCTTAAACTCATATATTGCATATATAATATAAAAAAATATCCTATATTTGGTAGTGTAACGCTTCCGAGTTTTCTATCAAATCTTTAGTAGGTCTGAGTAGGTCGTGAGCTATTTTCATACCCCAAGGTAAAAATGGAGGCTCTACTCTGAAATTATTTATAGAGCAAACCGTTTAGAGGGTGTACTAGTAAAGAAGAATATGATGTATAAAGAATAGATAGAAACTTTCTTGTTTTTCTACATTAAAACTGTCACACAGCTCGAGCGGGGTTAAAAGAAAACACAGAATTATTTATTGGTACACCGCAATTATAAAGAAATACAATATACTACGATATCTCTTTAAAATCACTGACACAGTTTGTTGTGTCAGCCGAAAGCCTTAGGCGACTGAACTTTTCCACTTAAAAAGTGCTCGCTCGAAATTGAACTAGTTTGAAAAACATTGTTTTATTGGAATTAGAGTGCGCACATCCTCCATTTCTATTTTTGATATACCTAGCTATGTTCTACAGATTTTTAACAATTAACAATTCTAAACAAGATGTTTAGAATTACACGTTACTTTTTTTTTTAATTATTAATGAAAAAGAACAAGAACAAGAAGACTATAATAATTGTTAAAGATTCAACCTAGCAATCACATTAAGTAAAGCACTACACAAATCCACTGGACCATAGAATCCTTACTTTATTACTTACTAAAGCTTCACAATTGCACTTCTGAGGACAAAGAACATTGTCAAAGCATTTAGTCTTTGCGGAGTCTAAACGATTGCTACTTAAAATCCAATTTCATAGAGTTACATGGACAAAGCAATCAAATCGAAACACTTATCCCAGCTTTGAGCTGCAGAGTCGAGTTGATCTTCAGTTCTATAAAGTGCATACCACAAGAGTCGCCGTTGCAATATTCCGATTAAATAAAAATATTTCCGCATTTAAAAGCCTCTCCAGGAATTTATCAGTCAGAAAATAAAATTCCCCTTACAGGTCTCAAAAAGACATATTAAATGCGCAAGTTGGGCAATCTTTTGAAGTTACGTTATATTCAGAAATATACCACTTTCTGTTAAAATACAAAAATATTTCATATTTAAACTTTCACGTTCATTACAAATAAAAATTAAAAGTAAATACAGTAGTAATATTTCTGTTTGTATTGGTAAACCAATTGGAAATTTATAGAAACCTATATTATTAGTGAGTAAAATAAAATGTGATTTACACAAATATCGCTGTGGGATGTAGTTTGTATAATAAGAAATGCTTAAGAAAATGGCTTTGTAAACGGCGTCGAATACGTATTTCATTATTCTTATTAGCAATAAAGAAATTATATTTTAATGTATTACATATTGTTTATTAATTAATTCTATTATACGCATTGGTGGAAATAAAAAAAATAGTCCATCACGATGAAGCATACTACTGTTCCATAACAGCGTAATAATATTTACGTAATATTGTGATCCGATTGAATGTAAAAACGACAATAAATTATATTTACACCTAATATATCCACAGAAAATAATCGTAATAGACATTTATCTATTGTTATAAATAATATTGCATTGACGATATAAATATTTACAATTTTAACATATATATATATACTAGTGAACATCGCCAGCTGCGCCCACATGCGTTTCTTTTTTTTTTGTTATGTAATTACACCTTTCAAAAAGTGTATGAACAAGTCTGTGAAATGGATCCTCATAACAAAACACTTATTTTAAAATACCCTGTTTCGTTAAAGTCAATAAATTATTTCTGGTGACTTACCATCGATTCTGGAACCATCGCCATGCCAGTCTTCTTCTGGAACAAAGGGTCATAGTATTAATAAAAATTCGTGGCCAATATTATATTTAAACTGGATGACTTTTATGACAAGACATCAGGTCATCTCGTAATACTATCGTACCCCTAATGCTTTACTACTCTGGTAAGGTAAGGTACCATGCATACTCTGTCATTTGACTTTCAACGTAAACATAGCATACGAAACAAATTACTCAGTAGCTGAAATTTATGAAAATGTATCATGATAAGGACGACTCTATACAAAGTTTGCCGTTTTATAAATACCTACTTCCTGGGACGCCTATTTCAATTTAAAATATCGCGATAATGTTTGTTCTGTATTCTGAACACTTATAAGTAAATGTAAGTTGTATCACATGTTCGCGTAAATATAATACTGGCCATCAAGAAAAATCGTATGGCTATTTAAATTTAGAAAACGAATTCAATTTAAAATTAGAACAGTAACAAAAAGGACGCTCTTTAATAAATCTACACTCTGGAGTAATATATACTACACATTGGGACGTTCCTGGACAAATGTGAGTGAATTTAGCGTCATTTTACTGTACTTTGGAGTGTTAGGAATGTAGAAGACGTTAGTCCTAAACCAAAATGCACTTCACTGTCCTGCTACAACATTTATTTTTATTTCAGATAATACAGATAACTTTCTATTGTATTTTTATCTTAGTACGAATAGTTATAGAGAACTATAGGCAGTACCAATGAAATATTTCTGAAATAAATAATTTATATGAAACTGAAGCTCGATAACTAATTAGTTTTAGTTAATTATTATTAGCAGATACGTACAAATATCTAGCATTCAGAGTAATTTACCCATATCTAAAAATTTTGAGCACAGTCTCGGTGTTATGTGTTCGAATTCAACAATTCATATAATTACTTCTTACATTTCATATAATTAATATACGAATCAACACTGTGATTGTAATTACCCATTCCTACTATAGTGCCGTACGCTATTATTGCAAAGTAGACACACAGAGAACAATGAAGGGAGGTGTTGCGAGATTATCCTGCATAATACGATGACATGTAATTTAACATGATACTATATTCAGGTTCAGTAACAGTAGATACAAGTATATAAATAATTATAAGTAATAATATATAAATATAATGCTTAATAAACGATTTAAGATATAACTTTTTGTCTACTCTACATAATAGCATAATTGTTTAAAACATAACTATATTAACCGCTAAGACAACTCCTTTTGCTGTGGCTCCGCAATTCCAGAACACGTCCATTACCATCTCTAAGAGCATTGGGATTCTCGGTGTCGACATCTCTATCACAGTTGAGTACCGTAGTCACCTCGAAGAAAAGGTCAAGCTGGCGTCCAAGAAGCTCGGTGTGCTGAATAGAGCGAGGCGGTACTTCACTGCGAACCAGAGACTTCTATTGTATAAGTCGCAAGTTCGGCCGCACATGGAGTACTGCTCTCATCTTTGGGCAGGAGCACCTGGATACCAGCTCGGTCCTTTTGACTCGGTTCAGAGACGTGCTATGAGAATTGTCGATGATCCCAATCTCTCTAACGGTATCGAACCACTTAGCTTGAGGCGAGACTTCGCATCGCTTTGTGTGTTATACCGAATATACAACGGACTGTGTTCTGATGAATTGTTTGACATGATGCCTACGGGTACCTTTTACCATCGCACCGCTCGCCATCGACAGGGAATTCATCCCCACACGCTGGAAACTAAGTGGTCTCGGACAGTGCGGTTTCAGAGGAGCTTCCTCCCGCGTACACTTAGATTGTGGAATGAACTACCTGCCGAGGTTTTCTCGAGAGACTACAGCATGGAGGTTTTCAGGAAGGGTATATTAAGGTTTCTTAAGGGTCGGCAACGCGTATGTGACACCCCTGGTGTTTCAGGCGTCCATAGGCTACGGTAACCGTTTACCATCACATGGGCCGTATGCTTGTTTGCTACCTAAGTGGTATAAAAAAAATAAAATAAAAAAAAACAATAACAATATTAAAACCTAAAAACAAAAACATTAATACAAGATTATAAATTTAAAATTATATCAGTTATATAAAACTACTGTCGAATACTAACAAATAAACATTAAATAAACCGATTTCGAGAAAACAATAAAAAAAAAACAGACACTAGGCTGTACACTAAAAACAAACATCAACTGGTATAAAGTGCTATAACTTGCCATTTTATGTCCTTTTTATTACCATAAACGGGCTTATACGCATAAAAAAGTCACAAGAGATTAAATAGGTGGCCGTAACACTCTGTACTGATGCTATTGTATCAGCTTATGTAGATACCTGCCACTTGCCGCTTAGACAATATGCTTATAATAATAATGCAGACCATTCACACTGCGCCATATTGTCCCAAAATGAGCAGAGCTTGTACACTTGTACAGACCTACTAAATGTAGATACTTAAATAGATTATATACATAACAAGCAGATATACACGGAAGTATGTATGTAATATTAGTCCAGTCTATCTGTAATATTAGTATATAAGTTTGAAGTTAACTTTTTTTATTTTTACAATTCACACAGCGCCATCTAGCATTAAGCTCAGCGTAGGTTAGCTTATGTTATAGTCAGTAGACTAATGATAGAATATTTAATAAATTTCTTTAAAATGCACATGTATAAAGATTACATAGAGAACACCCAGATCAATACAAACAATAGTAATCATCTATACACATAAATAAAATTGTGTGTCTGTTTGTAATATTGAAATAAACGTTTTTTACTACATGCATATGAATATAAATGCGGTACATACACCAAAATAATATTTTTTACAATTTTTGTCTGTCTGTCAGTTTGTTCCGGCTAATCTTTGAATTGGCTGGGTTGATTTTGACGGGACATTTATTGGTAGGTAGCTGATGTAATAAGGAGTAACTTAGACTACTTTGATTTATAGTTATATTCCACGCGTTAGTTATGACATATTTGTACTGCAAACCCGCGACAATCGGTAGTGAGACGATGTGCTAAACCACGAGACCACTGTCATTGTTTCTGATGATAGTATCATACTGTGTAAGATATATAACTTAATAGGGTACAACATTGTAGTCCTCAGAAATAAAACAAACTAGTGTTGCCCCAATCGTGATATAATGATGTGAGATTTCTGTTATTATGTACCTACTTTGGATTATTATTAATAGGGATATTATTGGAATTTGTCGATTAGCAGCGATTATAATTAGCGGATTTCTGACTATACTATCAAGTCTTCCAACTGAACTTAATTTTTGGATTGCAAGATAAGCTATCTTTACACGCACGATCCTTCTCGAGCGAATCGGCTTTGACACAGGAAATAATGATTATATAAATGTAGACAAATGGAACAACAAAAAATGGTGCGTCCTTTTTAAACAATTAAGTATCATTGCAAAATGGTGGAGTTCCGACTATGGAGACATGATTATATAATGACTAGCTGTGCCCACGGTTTCACCCACGTTAAATTTCATTAAAAAAATATAGCCTATATGTCATTCTGATACATAAGCTATATTACTGTAAAGTTACAACAAAATTCGTTCAGGAGTTTTTGCGTAAAAGAGTAATAAACATACTTACACACTTTCGCGTTAATAATATTATCAAGATTAAGATTAATCATTTATAATTCACAAAAATGTCTTTATAAAATAAAATCTGTGGAAAATAAATACAATTTTAAAAGAAAGTGATATGTCATGTTTCACATGTTCGAAATACGTGAACACAAAAAAGAGATAAATGCAATCACTCACGGTTGCGCCCGCTAGCTGTCCCGCAATAGTTCGCGAGTGACAGAACGTGTCGTATAAAAGCTATAGGGAAATTCAATATATACCAAGCCAATAGGTAGTTCTATTTGAATACTAGACACGTAATAAATTTCCCAAAGAAGAAAATTGTAAATTCAAATATTTATTTTTCTAAGTATACTCTTACAGGCAATCATATTAAAAGTCAATATTAAATACAAATAATTTATATCTTTACAATTTTTAGAATAAAGTTATTTCTTAGCATAATATACGATTTCTAGTTTACACATTACATACATTTATTGGTTTTGTTCCGTATTGCTAACTTCCTTAGTCTAAACAGGTTGTATCACCGGCTTGCTTACTAGAGCGCTTACTTGCTTGGCAATACTGGCCACAAATAAAAACATGTGGCCGCTTAAATTTCGAATATAGAAAAAAAAACAATTGAAAATAAGAACTGAAATAAAAAGGACGCTCCGTATTTTTAACTATATAAAGCAAAAAAAATATTTATTTAATTATATTCCAATATAATTGGTTTTATGAAAATATACACTCTAGAGTGCGAGGCCACGAAATTGTACTACACATCGGGACGTTCCTGAGCAAAGGTAAGTAAGTTTAGTGTTACATTACTTACTTTGTTCGTAACTCGTTTCTTACTCGTTTTTTCGGAGTGTGGAAGACAATCTTCCCGGGTGAAATCGTATTTCTCTTTCTTTTTCCATATATACATTATTTGCTTTTCAATATATACAGTCCACTCTCTATTTTTATTTATTACTTTATACGGATTCGTAACCCAACAGGTATACTATTTAGTACATTCTATGTTTATTACCGTTTTGTTGCAGTTATTCGTTAAACTACTTAGTCAGATCAAAATAATATGATAAGTTCAAAATATATATTTAGAGTTTTCTCTTTGTTTCCTGGTGACAGTGCTTCAGACTTGGTACACAATTTTACAACTGAAGCTTATTTGTCATTAATCACGGGAACTATAAGGGCTTGTGTATGTATATCCTAAGATATAAGGCATGACCAGATAAAAAAAATCTGTTATTCCATCTATCTTCTAACATATAATAAACGCACAGACTTATAATAAGCATAATAATAACTCTACCTATATCAGAATAACATTTTTAAAAGCAAACCAATCTAATAAAAAATGTAACGAATGATTTCTGTATCACAGTTCATTGAAGCGAAC